AGAGAAAGCAGTCCGCTTGGAGGCGTGCCCATCCCACGGGCATCCTGGGTCATCCCCACCCGGGAAGAAACAAGCACAAACCCCAAAACAAGGGAATTGGTAAAAGGGCCCAGCGACCCCCCGGCTTTGGCTTCGGAATCCACGCGCGGCCGCTCTCAGGCGGTTATGGGGCCTGTTTGCCCAACTGGGTCTTGGCGGCCTCTCCACGCGCAGGAAACACTCGTCAGTCAGTCAGTGACTGAGTTATTGTAGGAAACATGTCCGGCTGATGGTTCTTTGACAGAAAACTCGTGCCGCCCAGACTTCTGTTTTTAAGGCAGAATATTTGTAATAGAGGCAGCACTAAGGCACAAGGCAGGGCTCCAGGGCATGTCCAGCCTCACCCGAGCACGGGCAGTGCTTCCATGCAAACAGGTTGAGCTCATGCATTTAACAATGGGGGTCCCGTAGGGGAAGAATGTGGATTCCAGGGGCTGACGCCCTGTTCTCGCCTAAGGCAGAGGGTGGAGGGGTGCCCGCCCTTCCCTGGGGCTGGCTCATCCAATTCCAGGAAAGCTGTCATAAACGCAGAAGCTACGAGAAGGAATTGTACGCAAGTGACAGCGATAAGGATGCGGCCATTCCTAGAGGTTTGCGTTATCTTTAAAAATTGCTGAGCTACTGCATGAGAGCGTGAAGATATACATGATGCCCTTAGAATACAACAATCTTCAAAGCAAGAGGTGGTTGTTACTGTGAAAAAAGTAAAGAAAATTAAACAGTAAATTTGAGAATCTAATTCGCTTTATTACTCAACTCGTGAATCAGGCAGCACCTCAACTACAACTAGAAAGGTGCTCAGAAGGGAGGTACCAAAGGGAAATTTTTTTTATAGGAACAAGGATGGAGCAAGAGAGCTATTAACAAAGAAAAGAAAAGAAAGGACTTCTCTTGGGCCCAGGCATCTTCTGTTTGGGGAGGAGAGTGAGAGGACTTTCTCATGCAGATTGCCTCCTGCCTCCTCCCAACCTTTTTTTGGCCACTCCCCACCTAAGCACCTCTAAAATCCTAGTGCCCCCCCATACTTATTATTCAAAAAGTGACTCCCATTCACGTGGAGAACTTGATCTAAACAAGCTTCCAAAGAGCATGGATAAAAAATAAAAGAACGAAAGGACAGTTTGAAGTCCTGAGAAAGAAATCACTAAGAAACTGCTTAAAAAATAATAATGATATGAAGTGATATAAAAAATAGCAAATTTTTGAAGCAGAGAGCTGAAATGCATAAATATGTCACAATATGTATTTATATACTGTATATAAGGTTTTAGGGTGCAAAAAATCACTGTTAAGAACTCATTCTCCAGTGGCCCCCCTGTAGGGTACGTGCCCCACTTTGGGATCCACTGCTCTAAGGGGATGGAGGGGGCCCACGTGACTGATTCCCTTATTAGTGCTTCAACAGAAAATTCTCCAGGGGTTGATTAAAATTACATTTCAAGGAGAGGTTGAACCTGCAGTTAGATCAAGTGTTTGTTAAATCCAGGTTTGGAACCCGGTGTTTAGCTTGAGCAATAACTGCATTTTTTGTCCTTTAACATCATACAGTTAGGATGTCCCAAGCACACTGCCCTAAACACCATGGATCAACTCAGCCAAGTTCCCCACCAGAAAATTTGACACTACAAATATCAAACCTTGAAACTGTTTACTTTAGAGGTCGGAGCAGCAATATCTCCAAAAATCACATACCAACATAAAGTGACTAAATCTAAGCCAGATGGGTGTATGTCGCCTAGGACAGCCAGAAGAAAAACAAACAAAACACCCTCTGTTGTTTACATGAAAAAAAACACACACACACACACACACACACATTGATTTGTTAAGGCATACAATCCTAAGCAATACAAAGTAGCAACTGCCCCCAAAAAATTGGTACAAATTTTTTTTTTACTACCTTAATTTAAAATACAGTCCCCCGAGCCCAGTTTCACCTAATGGAGACATCCTATATTGTTATAATATCAAAACCAGTAATGGACATTGGCAAGTTACTGTTAACTCTAGACTACAGGCCTGATTCAGTCCTCACTGGTCTTACATGCCCTCGTTTGGCCATGTGTGTAGATAGTCCCATGCAGTCTTACGCCCTGGATAGTGGTGAAACCACCACCAGGATGTAGATACAACACTTCCACCATCACCAAGGAACCCCTTATGTTCCCCCTCTGTAGGCCCGTTCACCCACCTCTCCCATCCCCTGGAGCAATCACCAATTTGTTATCCATCTCTGGTTTTGCCATTTGGAGAATGCTCCGTGAAATGGAATCACACAACATATAACCTTTGAAATAGGCTCTTTAGCCCGGCTGGTGTGGCTCAGTGGTTGAGCATCAATCTATGATCAAGGAGGTTGCTGGCTTGATTCTGGTCAGGGCACAGGCCCAGGTTTCGGGCGTGCAGAAGGCAACCGATCACTGATTCTCTCTCGTCATTGATGTTTCTATCTCACTCCTTTCCTCCCCGAAATCAATAAAAATATATTTTAAAAATAAAGAGGTGAAATGGGCTTTCTTCCACTGAGCATTATGCCCTTGAGACCCAGCCATTGCCAGCAGCTTCCCTTGTCATTGCCGAGTAAGACCCAGTCGTACTGATGTATGAGAATGTGTGCTGTCAACGTAGGAAACTTTCAAACCTGCACAGAATTTTTGTTTATTTTGAGCTAAACAGAATTGCCAGGAAGCAGCATCTGAACAGACTGGAAAACGCTCTGGAAAACTGTGGTTTTTACCACTTATTTTATTCATCAGAATCAAAGGGGGAGATGTAAGGTGGTTACATGAAATTCATTGGCGATAGGTAGGGAGGTGGGAGAAAGCAACGCAGGGAAACTTCTGGAATTGGACACAAAGTAAAAGAAACAGACACATACTTCTTTGAAATTTGTGGCTATAGGATGGTTAACATTAAACAATTTTTTAAAAATTCTTTATTAGTTAAGTTTTTACAAATGTGTCCTCCCCCCCCCCCCCCATCCCCCTGTTGTCCATGTCCATTGGTTTGGCTTATCTGCATGCATACAAGTCTTTTGGTTGATCTCTTCCCCTTACCCCCTCCCTCCCCTACTTTCTTTCTGGGGATTGATAGTCTGATGGCTGTTTCTCTGTCTTTGGAACTGTCCCTGTTCATCAGTCTATGTTGTTCTCTATATTCCACAAATGAGTGAAATCATGAGTTATTTATCTTTCTCTGACTGGCTTATTTCACGTAGCATAATGCTCTCCAATTCCATCCATGCTGTTGCAAAAGGCAAGAGTTCCTTCTTTTTTACCACAGCGTAGAATTCCATTGTGTAGATGGACCACGTTAAATTTAATGTTAACTTAAACAATTAACACCATAAAATAAAGATCATGGGATTTGTGGTCGCTGCCCTGGGGGGATTGTCCTGACATTCCAAAGGTGGGTTATCCTAGATGCAAAATGACAATAGACAGATTCAGTTAAGGTAAAAACTGACTTTTGTCAGGGAAGGTACCAGCTGGGGCCCTGAGGACCTGCCACAAATCGCTTTTAGTTAGAAAGTTTTCATGTCAGCTCGCCCTATGTGGATACTTTCCACCTCTGCAGGCCTCCCCCCTTCCCTGCAGCGCCCCCTTCCCTGAGATTGTCAGGTGTACCCTGTGGCCCCTTTTTCCTTTTGTTTTCCACCCTGTAATAACCATCCGTCCATGGAAAGATAATAGTACACAGCTGTTTTCACTTTAGGACTACTACTAATGAAGCTTTTTTAAACTTCAACAAGTACAGGAGTTGTTTCTTCCCCCTTAACCCCACTGCAACCCATTTGGGTTTAAGTTTCTATTTCCTGCCTTCCACCTTAAGATAACGATTCTTAAAGGGGTATTCGTGTCGCTATGATAACTGGTAGCCTAATAACCCTTTCCACATTCACGTAAAAGTCACATGTGTTGCCATGGCGCTTGGAAGTTAGCGTCAAGGCAGAAACATGGGACCGGGCAGCCCGATGATCCTGAACCTGAGTCCTGGGTTCTGCGGCTGAGGACCGGCTCCAGCAACAACGTGCGGCTGCTGTTAGAGAAACTGCAGGGAATGCCAGGTTCTGGCTCCCGCTGGGGACTCGGCTTTACTCAACTGCGGAGCCACTGACTGAACGGACGCCATAGTTTACCCACCACCCCGGGGAGGGGAGTCCCACCTTTCCGTGAGCAAACATACTAAACCCTACACGCTGCATGGCCCGAGGCACAGGACTTCCTTCTGGAGTTAAAGTGGGAAGCGGGGCCTCCCTGGTTGAGGAATTCCAGCAAAGGAAGGGTTACGCAAGGACCACGGTTTCAGGCCTAGTGGCAACCTTCTCAGAGGGTGCAGGCTGCAACGCTGAATGCTGGTTAGAGCTTTAGCGGCCACTCCAGGCCTCCCGTGGGGGTAAGCCAGCTTTTCCAGTAAGAGCACAGCCACGAATTAGGCTGGGGCTGCTGCTACATAGGAAGGACTGGAGGCAGGCAAGCGGCCTATGGAACAAGGAGTTCGGCAACCACAGCGCCTGTCCCACCTGGACGTAGTTCTGTTTGGGGAACAGATTCCGATTTTCCTTACAGCTCTCCCACGGAAACTCTAGGCGGCTCTGAAAAGAGCCTTTGGGTTTTCGTTTTACTTTGGGTAACAGTTACGCCCGCTCCCCGCGGATGCGGCGCGCGAGCTGGATGTCCTTGGGCATGATGGTGACGCGCTTGGCGTGGATGGCGCACAGGTTGGTGTCCTCGAACAGCCCCACCAGGTAGGCCTCGCACGCCTCCTGCAGCGCCATGACGGCCGAGCTCTGGAAGCGCAGGTCGGTCTTGAAGTCCTGCGCGATCTCGCGCACCAGGCGCTGGAAGGGCAGCTTGCGGATCAGCAGCTCCGTGGACTTCTGGTAGCGCCGGATCTCGCGCAGGGCCACGGTGCCGGGCCGGTAGCGGTGCGGCTTCTTCACGCCGCCCGTGGCCGGCGCGCTCTTGCGGGCGGCCTTGGTGGCCAGCTGCTTGCGGGGCGCCTTCCCGCCCGTCGACTTGCGCGCTGTCTGCTTGGTACGAGCCATAGCAAAGCACCCAAGGTAGCAAATCTGTTGGGCGCTCCTATTTATAACCTCAAACGCCTCCTGATTGGTCCGAATATTCAAATTCCGCGCCGCGAATTAAGCGATGTAACGGGCCGTCTGATTGGCTATCGGGTCTATGAAAAAAATGGAAAAAGGCTCAGTTGTCTTTCCACTTAGTTCTCCGCCCTGGACCCGCCCTGTATTTAAGGTATTGATCGCTCTCCTTAATCGACTTGGTTGAATCTCCGACAATTTTTAATCTCCTTGTTCTGGTTTACACTTGGGAGGAGGCGAAAGTGAAAGTTCCAGG